TTAACCGCTCACTTAAACTAATAAAGAAAACTTATATGTCCTTTCTTACTCCAGCTCGCTAAATACCAAAAAGGCATCGGAATAACGTGAAGTAAAGTGAAGTTTTGTAGCAGATACAATGAATAGATCATGTCAGCCTTTGAAATAAATAAAGTTCACTTATTATTCAACTCGATTCGAAGCAACTCGTAATGGTAAAAAATTCAGTCAAGCGACGTTCCTTGTCAGAACGCTCAGTTGATAATACTAAAGTACTTAGATACGCATAATGCCGGTGGTGTCCGGGCGGATTTGGACCTCCCTCCGCGGATTTGGACCCCACAACAAAATTGAGTGAAAACGTCATCTTTAACGTTTTAGTAGAAAAAGATAACACTTTACGTTCCAGTGCATACCAAAGTATTTTTTTTAATTTAAAATATGCGTATCGCCAATACATACGAACTGGCAGCTAGAAATGACCCGTCGGATGTTTCTTTTGACTAAGGGAAAATGCACAAGCATTATTGAGTTTAATGTTTGGAGAGAGGTTGTTTTTTAACCTTTTCCACGATAGTCGAACACCGCTAGATTCAATAAGAGACAAGCTTGTGACACTAATTTATTTGTGAATTGTTCAATGCCCGAGTGTTGGAACGACATGGTACAGTGCGAGTTATGCGAGGGATGGTTACACATGAGCTGCGAGCAATCTAAGAATCTAAAACCGCCAGACTCTAGAAGTCTTCGCAATTGTTAAGGTTTTGTTTCGGATCCCTCAACTGTCACCAATCGTTAAAATTAGAAAATAAGATTGAGTTCGATGTAATAGTCTCTACTGTTGTTAAGACAAAGACATTAATGTTGATTTGCATTTGAAAATAAGCTGAGAGTTCCAATAGTTCAGAATGGAAACATTTTTACTTATCATAAGCTTTACGAACGACTGGTAGGAAGAGTAGTTACTTCACTCTTGTTCAGAAACTGTTTGATGTTATTTAATTAGAAAATCAGACTGAGTTATTTTTGTGACTGGATGCAACAGTCTCCACCATTGTTATGACGTTTCGTATCAATGTTGATACGAAATGGGGGGGTTCACCGGGGGGTCCAAATCCGCTGTGACCGGTATGTCTAAAGTTGTAGTGCATAAACATTTAAACCTGCGTTTCTAGTAATTTTATTATGATGTTTTCGGGATATCCGTCTCAAATGTCGTTTCTAGTACTTTTCTGTAATTTTTTATGCTAAGCTACTTCATTAAAGGTAATGTAATGTTAACAACTGAGTTGAAAACGTAAATTGGCTATCTAAAGAGTTTTAAGACTGACATTTCCTCCGCTCGGACGAAACGTCAGCCTTTAAACTCTTTACTGTGGCCAATTTACGTTTTCAGCTCAGTTGCTAACATAACACTAAATTACCTGTTATACTCTCCCAACTAGACGCAGCACCGCAGTTTCTTTAGAAACTAACGCCCTTACTTCATTAAAGGCCTGCTGGTTACAACCTCAAGTGCATTTGCACCAATGAGATTACTGTTTTTAAAATGTTATTTAACTTGTCAGTGGCAGAGCAGGAAGTTGAGGAGGTGGGAGGGAGGGGGGCGTGGGGCTCTTAACGCTCTTGAATTTGAGTTACAAAATAAAGCATAATACAAAATCACGAACAAAACTTCGGGTATAATGCTATATTTTCAGGAACTACGCTCAAAATTTCGAGTGAAAAATGCGTGACCTCTTAAACGATGAACACAGCAGTCGTATGAGTGCTCCTGGGTTCGAAGAAGCTGAGTCATGTGATAGTCAGCAGATTGCCTCATAATATGTATTTAGGACATAATATGCGCCCATACATGACGTACCTACCAAAACACAACATTGGCATCCGTCTAGGCATAATTCAAAACGGCTATGGAAGGAAAACTTGACCTTAAACTAAATGTTGTCGATGAAAATGGGTGTGAATTAACCGATAAAAAGCCATATCTCTATCAGACAACAGACACAGTCAGGTATGTCACAAAACAGTTGAGTTAGAACAACTTTCAGCGATAGCGAAAGAAGTTCGAACAACTTTTATCAATTTGATTAAAGATCCATATCCAGTAGATCAACTTCCACTTTTGTTGTAGTGGTTTATTTTGATGTTAGCTTTAGGAACCGATCTGTGAACTAGTTGGGTCAGAGAACATTTCGAAGTGTTTTTCCCAGGAGGGCAATTAGTGTTGATGGATGGATTCTAGTTTACCTCGATCTCTTTCTTTCATGCCATTCGCTATGAATTAAAGAGGAGCGGTTTGCCATGGAAATAGCACAGTCCCAACTGGAACTGAATACATTGCGAAACAATTGCAAGCTACCATGACTGATTAATGTAAACATAATATGATGCATTATTAGTAATTTTATGTGAATTCTTCCAAGGAATTTAGTATATGTTCTTGAAGATAGCAAAAGAGGGGTCCTGATCCAGTTTGACACACAAATTTTTAGAAAAATTCACACATTTAGCAAACAACTCATTTTGAATTTCCAATTTCAGATGGAAAGAAGTTGCACAATGGGTGAAGGACAAGCTGTCAATCACTTGCTCACTCGCATTTAGTTATTTTGACGATGAGGGTGATCTCATATTTGTAAGTGTTCATTTTTCAAGTGATGATTAACCCTTTACAACTTAACATCAGTATCCATGTTCTCTATACTTTTCCCTTGACATTTTCTTAGGTACTGCAAGGAGAATTTGTGTAACAATCAAAGCTTCTTAGCTTGGTGATCACTTCCTTTATTCTCATGAACTTAATGAATGATCCAGCAGTCAAAGCAGAAATCAGCAGCTGGTCATTGTTAAGGTTTTAAGAGTTAATTACTGCCTTATTCTGGGCCCTGTTGTTCAAAGCAAAGTTAACCAGCCTAAAAGTATCATCCCCGAATCACACATCAAGGTCACAAGAATTGAGGAAATGATCACCACATAAAGAAGCTCTTGATTGTTAAACAAATTCTCCTTGTTAGCACCTGACAAAATGCATAGAGAACAGTATGGAGAATATGCATACTGATGTTAAGGTGTAAAGGGTTACCAGTAAGTTAGCCTGCTGGACCTAATATTTAGGGGTTATCCTTCAAGTCCTACCCTGGTTATTGGGTTTTGTGCTCGGGAAAGACACTTTTGGCACACACTGCTTCTCTCCACCCAGTAGTATAGTAATCTGCATGCAAAAAGTAGGCAATACTCCAACAGGCTTC